TCCCGGTAAGACTTGACGAATGCCAGAGTCTTCCCTTGTTCTTTGCCTAGCCTACACCATGTTTTTACCACATGGCCCGCAACTCGTCCTCTACAGTTGAATTTTAAGAGACTCTCATTTTCCCGTGAATCCAGACTTAAATATCATTTTTGTCCCACAGGCACAAAAATGGCGCTTTTAAGACAGTGGCGCCACCAACCTGGTTCATTTTTGTTGCACATCAAAATGAGCCGCCTACACGGCTCATTCTGAGTTCAGTTTTTTTCTGTGTTAGTAGAGAGTATTTATAAAAGTATTTTAAGTATATGTCAATATCTCACCTATAACCTCTAAAGTCGGTTGCACGTACGTAAGCTTATACTCACTAAATTAAAATTATTTGTCGCATATTTTGAGTTTAATTATCTTATAACTATAGTGTAGGTAAAGCTTTATTTATAAACTCAAATAAATTTTTTATTGTTTACTATTTGTTTCCTGTTATATTTATATGTATTGTCAATTTTGCGGAAAATCTAAACTTTTGTAACGTAACAGTCTTTTTGAAACATTGCATTCATAATTTTTAAATAAGGCATACATGAATTTTTATAATAATAATAAAATGTTACTAAAGAACCATATTTTTAAATGCATGTGAGACGTTTCACGTCAAATGGAACAGAGCTATAGCCAAAAATTGTCTTGATAAAAAAAATCGTTTAAGGGCTGAAAAAACTTGTATACTCTTGTACTTTTGAAAGCAGATGGGCGATTTCAGAAATTCAATATGGCGGAGCCTGTAGATGCGATATAAGTCATCAAAGCACTGAGAAAAATAATATCGTAATAATAAGAAAATAATTTAGTTAAGCATTTTTAGTTGGCCTTACTAAAGTATGGTTGGCACAACAGAAAAGAAAGTGGCAATCAATCGAAAAATTTAGTTTGCTCTACCAAAAAATATTTTTGAAGGTTTCATGTCTACGAACTAAACAGTTTGGTTCTCCGTACTAAATCGCTGGCACGCAGAATTGCGCACGCGCTGTTCTCGAAAATGTGGCGTCGGTCGTAGGGCCTAGTCAGTCGTGGACCTCTTCCGCGTTATGCTTATCCGATCATTTATGTCATGTGTTTTTATTGTTCGGCTGGTCTATTATCGTAGCAGTGTCATTAAAGTTTTATAAATATTTATTTTTTAAAAGTGTACTGAAAGTGTTTCTTTTATTTCGAAAGAATGGCTGACGAAGTGACAAAACGTTTGCTAAGAGAATGGGGGTTAGAATGCCTCGTGGCATTCTGTATCAACTTTTGAAAACTTGCTCCTCAATTTTATGCGATATCATTTTGAGATATTTCATGAAACGCGCGTAGTGTGTACTTACGGGAAGATAAATTATTTTTGTAATGTCTAAGCATAATGAATTTAATAAAGTTATATTATTAATCTCATCTCTCTTGAATTAAAATACCTTATTTTTTATACAAAATCGTAAAAATGACCAAATAAACTATTTTATATAAAATAAATTATTTAGTTATTTCTACAAAAAAAATTTTTTTAATCAACGAAAACAGTAAGTTGAAATAACTAAATTTTATTTACGTCAACAGAACATTTTTTTTCATTCTAATAAATGTATTTATTACGTAGACTAAATTATTTGGTTACACCTACTAAATAATTCAATTGAGCGAAATTTAACGGTTGGACAAAAAAATTTAGTACTCCCAACCAAACGGGTTAGTTGCACATATATCAAATAAAAAATTTGGTAGGGACAACCAAACTTTGATACATGATACCAAACAGTTTTCTCAGTGTGTCAAGATTCGACAAATCCAAAATTAATTAAATTGAATCAAAAAATACACTTTTCAGCATTTTTGGGGTCGCTGAATACAAATCTGTAGTCAGATTTTAAAAATTCAAAATGGTGGATCCAAAATGGTGATCGAGTTTTTTTTAAATTCAATATTTTTTCTCAAAACTGGTTTCTCGGGGGTTTTTGGGGTCGCTGAATACGAATTTGAAGTTAGATTTTAAAAACTCAAAATGACGGATACCAAAATGGTGGTCGATTTTTGTTAAAACTCAATATTTTTTCTCAAAACTGGTTACTTTGGGGTCGCTGAATACAAATCTGTAGTCAGATTTTAAAAATTCAAAATGTCATATTCAATATTACGGTCCGTTTTGTTAAAATTTAATTTTTTTGATTAAATATGTTATTTGGGTGATTTAGAGGTCGCTAATTTTTAAAGCATAGGAGCACTTGTATATTTTTTAGATAACTGTCTGAAACAATTTATGAACCACTGGATTGTAATTAACAGTAAATGGACAACATATTCGCATTTTGCGATCCCACAAACTCCCGAGTAACCAGTTTTGAGAAAAAATATTGAGTTTTAACAAAAATCAACCACCATTTTGAAATTTTAAAATCTGACTTCAGATTCGTATTCAGCGACCCCAAAAACCCCCGAGAAACCAGTTTTGAGAAAAAATATTGAATTTAAAAAAAACTCGATCACCATTTTGGATCCACCATTTTGAATTTTTAAAATCTGACTACAGATTTGTATTCAGCGACCCCAAAAACCCCCAAGTAACCAGTTTTGAGAAAAAATATTGAGTTTTAACAAAAATCGACCACCATTTTGGTATCCGTCATTTTGAGTTTTTAAAATCTAACTTCAAATTCGTATTCTACTACCCAGAAAACTTCCGATTAGCAAGTTTCGAGGAAAAATATTAAATTTTTCAAAATCGACCGTCATTTATGATCCCCCATTTCGATTTTTTAAAATCTGTCTTCAGATTCGTATTCAGCGACCCCAAAAATGCTGAAAAGTGTATTTTTTGATTCAATTTAATTAATTTTGGAAATTTTATTCATGTTTGTATTTGTCGAATCCTGACATTGATGACTTATATCACATCTACAGGCCGCGCCATATTGAATTTCTGAAATCGCCCATCTGCTTTCGAAAGTACAAGAGTGTACAAGTTTTTTCAGCCCTTAAACGATTTTTTTTAATACGATAATTTTTGGCTATAGCTTTGTTCCGTTTGACGTTGAACGTCCCATCTATAAAAAGTTCTTTATTATCATATAATAAAAGTTTGTTTAAGTTGTATAGAAGTTATTTTAACAAAAATAGCATATTTTTTTATATTTTTTGAGGTGGGTATACGCTTGACGAATTTTTACCCAAGAACAAAATACTAATTTCATATATGGATAAAATGAATGAAAGATGAATCATCAAAATTATCATATGTAACAAAAAGACAAGGTATTCTTCTAATTTGTTACTTCCTTATTGAAATTACGATTAGTATGACCAAGATAGTGACTAATGATGACATAAAAATGTCATTATACGCCTAGTTTATGAAATATTTCTTAAAAATAATAAACGATACACAAAATCCTAAAAAAAAAATATTTTAATAAATATTTAATTGATGTTATCAAAAATTGACTACTGCGGTACTGGTAGCAGTACTGTGCCATTAGTGAACTCTGTCAATTTCAGGTGCACTCATTTCGAGGAGGAATTTACTTTTTAAAAACGTGTACACTTGACTACCGGTATTACACCTCATATTACCCTTTATTACTAAGTATTACACATTATTACAGAGTATTACACGTTATTACAGAGATATTACAGAGTTTTTTGCGTTATTACAGCACCGTAATAACGCATTTGTACACGGTATTACACAAGTATTACAGAAAGAGTACACCACTTGACTACCTGAGTAAATTCCCCCTCGACTCATTTATTCATTTACGTAAAAATTGCAAAAAAAAGATTTTTGGGGGTGGTTGATATTCTATTTTAAGAATATTACATACTGAATTTCAGTATTAAATATTCTAAAATAGGTGCCAAGTATATATTTCAGAATTTTTTTTCGGTGTAGAGGATTTTAAAAAAATTTAGAAATTTTAAGAAATTGATTAAATAGTTTAAATATAATTTTTTTTTTAAATTGTATAAAACTTGAAATTTAAAAAAAAAATGATGAATCTCTCAAAACTCAAATGTACTTTTTTTCACTTCCTGTGTAGAGAAATTCAGTACATGATTAGATTGTGAGTTATAAGAAACTTGACACGTTATTTATATACTTTATAACGTTGGATTTAATAAAGGCTTATGTCTTAAAGATATGATGTCAAACTTTTTTTTTTCTCAAAGAAAAAATGAAATCAAATTTTCAATAATTTTATTATTCTAGTACATTTTATAAAAAGTTAAAATAAAAAATTAATTTAAATTTTATGTATCAATTATTATAATAATAAATTTATCTAAAATTTTGATGTATTGAGTGTGGTTTAGGGGTATAGGTGCGTGTTATCGACCGGGTATCCCATGCTGGACGGCGTTGTGCCCCACCCTGAAAAGTAGGGAGAAAGAGAGAGAGAGAGAACGACTGATCACAGTGTACTGAATACCTACAGCTTTGCTGCCTCCCTGTTTAGTGATAGCGTAGATACTGTAGTGCTCACATCATCACGCAATATATTATAATTATTAAATCACATTCACATATATTTCATAATTTTACAACACCCGTTTTTTTACGAACTATATATATACATCACATGTTATACTTATAGCCTATCTTACATTTAACTTTAAATATTAAGATACCCAATGCTCAGAGAATTGAATTAGACTCTATATATATGCTCCAGTTCCTGATAACCCCACGTACTTAAAAATACTATACTACCTTCAAATCGTGTGTAAACCTCGTGGAGAATCAACCCTTGCTACTCCTTTCCCCCTCTCTCTCTCTATCTGAATCTATACGTCAAACAGCGAAACTTTTATTGCATATAAACTTTATTACAATAACAATTTTACAACATATTTATATTTCAAACGTATAAACTTAATTACTCGAACAAATTTAAAATTTCGAGGAAAAAAAAATTGTCAATCTCGAGATTGATAGTGCATATTAAATATCATATACTTCTGATTCTGATCTTTTTGCAAATTTCCTTTTAAAAGACACTTGTGATTTTTAAATCCCATCAGAGTTTTTATTAAATAATATTTTTAAAAGATTGTGAGAAAAAAAGTGTATATCTCACTCGCGGTACTAATTTAAATGAACACTCTTAATTAGTGGAATTTTAAGCAACCGATTTTAAAGATTTTGCTATTGTCAACTGTGTTCTCTGATATAGACTCTAAAAAGAACAACAACGAGCTGCAGATAGTTTTTTATACGTTTATAAATTAAAAAGAAAAAAAAACCGAAAAGCAAGCGAATCTTCGACAATGGGCGGATGTACTTCCAAGGATACAGCTTCGGCTGATGAGTATGTATTTAATTACTGAAAACGATGTCTAGGTGTCAGTTTTTCCAGTCGATTCAAGATTGGAGCACTTCATTTTCAATTAATTTTCACAATTTTGGATATCTGAATTTGCCGATCATGTACGTACATGTATCAGTTTTCATTATAATTATATTATCAGTATATTAGCATCTTCCGGATAGAATTTAGTATATTTTTTTTTATATATGACAATAAGTCATTCTAGTTGTTTAAAAACAAAAATTAATGTAGTTAAAAAGTTTTCCAATTAATTTTATATATTTTTTTTTATTTTGAATACGTAGAGATTCATTCTAAAAAAAGCTATAGTCTTTTACGTACAAAAAAGATGAATTAAAATTTTAAGGGTAAGCTACTTAAAAGACTCTTGGTATTTTAACACTAATCTAAAGTATAAAATTCTGTTCTAAATAAAACTTTGTATTGATTTCTTCTTGTCAATATTTAACCTTAGTTATTTTTTACACAGTAAAGCCTTATGCATTACTTTATATTGCATCATTCCGCTTAATTTGTTTTTTGTGAATTTCATTTTTAGTAGGCAAAAAATTTAATTATAATTGAAAAACGAGGTGCAAATATGATGGGGGGGGGGGGTTTGGGAGAGAGGACTTCATTTTAAAAAACGAGGTAAATATTTTTTAAATAGATTAGGATACCGAGCAATCGATATCGTCCCATAATTTTCTTTTTTTTAATATGCTTGTAGAAATTTGTAACGTTGGAATATAAAAAATACGTAGGGAAGAGCGGGGTAAAGACGTTTTTTAAAATATCTTCCTTCTTTCTAATCTATTACAATTTTCGTTTACAGTTTATTGTTAATATGATTAAAGCAATTAATTAGAAAAGAAAAAGCTCGAAAATTTTAAATTTAAAAAATGGTTTTAAGCACTTTATAACTGTGAATTTATTGACTTTATTTTATTAACTTTAAAAAAATTGTAAATTTTTGGTAAATATAAATCAACATTAATATTTCATTATATTTTCGCGCGGTTATTTAAATTGTTTTTCAATTTGAATAGAAGGTAAAGTAGACTTTTTAATGAAACATTAAAGAATCGAATTCAAAATGTGAGGTTAAAAATACAAGTAATGATTATTTTTTATAAAATAACTAAATTTTTTTTTTAATGTAGTAAATACTTATGTTTCAAAGATATTCGTCCATTTACTGTAAGTTCGTACAGTTTTAACGGCTATAATTTTCTTCCTTTAAAAAATATAAGCAAAAACGTCATTGCCCCGCCATACAGGGCAAAGCCGTTTTTTTTGCACCTTGAAAATAATTAAATTAAATAATCATGGCTTATAATAAATTAAGTAATTATTAGGTATTGAAATTTGTTGTTAATTAGTTTTAAATTAATTAGAAAAAAAGCACGTAAATTAATAGTGTAATAACGAAAATATTTACAAATAAACGTTACATTAGCGGCTTTGCCCCGCTCTCCCCTATTATTATATTCGTGTTCAGCATTTTTTACTTTAAAAAGCACTAACTCAAATTAATGAATTGTATTAGTTTCATCAAAGACAAAACACGCAAAATAGTAGTATCTACCGTGCAGATGGCGCTGGCATCTCAAAATTTTATGTGTGATATTTGTTTTCCACAAAACTGACTATTTTTCAACATAGATAACTTTTTGGAACCATCAGTATTGCACTACTTTTTTTTCTATAAGTGTTATGTGAAGATGTGACTATTAAGAAATTTCATTTGAAGGATTATATCTATTTCCTTCCGAATGAGACACATTTGAACATCACATGGTGTTAAACACCCAAGTATGTCCTTTATGTAATTTTTCGGAAGTGTGCCCTTTAAAGTTTAAAGGAGATTTTAATCGAACAAACAGTTTCGTCTGTGTGGGTAACAATTGGTTACGCCCACCTTATTTTATTTATATATTAATTAAAAGTAAACGTGTATAAATTTTAGTTGATAAACTTAAGTTTCACAAATTGTTTTTTAAATTTACATTTTTAAAAATAGCTCAAAAAAGGTGTGTAAGGCCTTTTGTTTTAAAAAATAAAATTCACCATTGGCAGGAGTATGAAAAAACCTTCAAAAAACATACCTGACACAATTTTTTTTTATTGTATTTATAGACATCAAAAATTCAAATAGGCGGTGTCAGGGAAAACTGATAAAAATTGACCCCCCCCCTCTATCTCCTCAAAAATTTCAAAAAAATTTTTTTGGGTATATTTTACTATCAGGTAGGACAACAATTTTCCCAAGTTTCACTTTTTTTCCGAGAAATTATTTTTTCCACTTAGGACATTCCACGTAAAATGCCTCATAAGTGTGATTTACGTAGATTTACATTACATTTAATAACGTATTATTAAAAAAATTGCTATATATAGATATAAAAATTTTGAGTTTTTAAAATAATTTAATATTAAATTAACAACTCTTAAAATATTAGTTTATTTAGTTACAATGCATCGAAAGTAAAAAAGAATTAAAGTGTTGACATTAAGGAGGTTTTATCGCTCGACGAAACTAGTCAAAACAGAGACCATTATTTTCTGATTTGAATTACTCGGGTGTCGTAAAACATCTGGCAACATGACATTTTGTCAGTCGTCGTTTTGTAGAGGTAGTGTTTACATCTATTTGCACACAAAACTATAATCACTGTACTATTTATCTCCCGTAAAATACTGTTACTTATTAATTATTTAATTAATTTATTTATCTCTGTATTCATTAAATCTATTTTTTGTTATAAAAATTTTACAATATTCCTTAAGGAGATTCAATCCGTTGACATAATATCAAATTAAAATGTATTTTTTTAACAACATAAATAAAATTATAATTAAAATAAATTTCATTAAATTTTGAAAGATTCGATTGTAAAATATAAAAAAAAAGAATTTTGAAACAAAATAATTATTTTTTATATTTTTCAAATCAAATATTATTTTAAAAAAATATATCTAACAAACAAAATTGTAGAGAATATTTTAAAGAGTAAAATGAGCTATTGTTCATAAATATTAAATAAAAATTATAATAGGGTCAGTTGGGGTAAATGGGGACGAGAGGTTTCGGAGCTTAATTTACAGTTTTAAAATTAAGTTCAACGTCAATATTTTAACCTCAGATCACCTGCAAGAGGTTTTTTAAGCTTTTATCTTGACAATTGGCAGCAAGATAAAAAAAGTTATCGCTCAATGCATAAAAACTTGAAAATCAAAGTCAAACTGTTTCAGTATTTTGTCGAGCATTTAAAAGAAAACAGACTTAAAAATCATACCAAATTTTTTTCTTATTCCGTTATGACTCCTATAACAGAAATTCACTTGAATTTTTGATTTTTGTCATTATTAACCAAATTAACAAAAATCAAAAATTCAAGGGAATTTCTGTTATGGGAGTTGTAAGGAATAAGCAAAAAATTTGGTATGATTTTTAAGTCTATTTTTTTTCAAATGCAAGACAAAATACTAAAAAAAAAAAAATTTTTTTAAATTTATAAATTTCAATTGGTTCAACTATTATATATCTACTACAAATTTTTTTCAAGTTTTTTCATCCCTTAATACAGTAATATACTTAAGGAAACTTTTTTCTCAAAACTTTCTTAGAAACTATGCTGTCCCCATTTACCCCAAATTTTAGGAAATTTTCTAAATCTTGGGGTAAATGGGGACAGTCAGTTTCATGCGTTTAAAGCTTATCTAAATTTTTTTATGCTGCATAAAATTAATCCTGGGAATGTAAATAACAACTTAAAAAAAATAAACCCGTAAATATTACATTTTTAAAGGAAGAAACTTATGTAATTTGTGAAAAATAGCGATTTTGTCCCCATTTACCCCAACTGACCCTAATTGTTCTCTAATTTTGAACATAAAATGTTAAATAATTATTATTTGATGACAAATATTAGCATATAATATAATTTTTTTTCAAAATTGTACAATTGGATCTTTCAATATTTAGTACAATTAATTTCATTTATAGTTTTATTTAGTGATAATATTAATTTTTAATTTGAAGTTATGTCAAGGGGTTGATCTGCCTTAATATTAAGGGGATTGTTTAAATATCGTGAGGGTCAGGTGATTAATAGGGAGAGTCCTATACTTCATAGGAGTTTTATTCTCAAACCAATTTTGTCTTTCTCATTAATTATTTATTAAGCTGTCCGGTCAATATATAATTAATTAAAGATTCGTTTTGAAAAATTATTTCCACATTACGATTTAATATTTTTTTTTATATATACGTTTACTAATTTACTTCTACTGTTATAGAACTCGCAAATAAAATGCAAATTGTAACTTTAATTTTTTCGAAAAAACTATACTCATTTATGTGAAGATTTAGAAAAAAATATTTTTGGTATACTCTAAATATATACTTACATATAAGCCTTATCTATCTGTAGAGTAAATTTGATTAAAAGAGTAATATTAATTTTCTTATCATTTTTAAATATGTGTATCTTATGTGTAATAAAAATTTATGGATTTTAAATTATATACAAGGTATTTTGAAGTTGAAATTTTTCCAAAATAATTCCTCATTTTTTTTAAAATAAGTTTTGACTCAACTGAAACAATTTTTTTATTTTTCTATTTTCATTGCAAAGCCGAATTTTTTTCCAATAAAATATTTAAAGATATGAAGCTGATGATACAGCAGTAAATTTGATAGAAAATTATAAAATCTATTCTCCTATTTTTTCTCTATTTTAAAAAATTCTCCATTTTTTATGAATATTTCCCCTTTTTTCATCCATTTCCCCAATTTTATGTTGAAACTCGAATAATGGAAAATTTCATAAAAATCAAAATTTGAACCACAAAATTTTTGTTTTCTTAAATAAATTATTTACAGTTTTTCTTCAAATTTTAAATTCACATGCATAACATACATATATGAATTCGAAAAAAAAATTTAATTTAAAAAAAATTTTTTTGCATAAATTGTTCAAAAATTAGAATTTAAGTCAACAGACATGATAAATTTGTTTTAGTACATTAAATAAACCAATATTAAATGTAAAATTTTTTAAAAAATAAACTTAAAATTAAAAAAAAAATTAAAATAAAATATTTAGATTCTGATCACATTTTTCAATCTGAATTGTTTACTTAATTTAAAAAGGCCTGAATTAGGAAAATTGGAAATTTTTTTATCAGAAAATTAATTTTAAAAATTTAATTTAAATAAATTAAAAATTTCAGTTTCTTTGAAAAATATTTATTTATTTATTTATTTAATTACAATGTACGGGCTTGCAAATAAAAAGTTAAAAATGCCCTTTAGTGCAAAAGCACTTAATATTATAAGAAGATATAATGAATGTAATCACAGAATGACGAAATCATGTAGGTGACTTATAGACTAATACAAAATTAATTTTCGTAGGTCGTTTGTGAATTTGCCTAAATATATACCAAAGAAGTCTAACGCGTGACAGTACTCGTTACCTCTAGTACAAATTCTGTTAATAATACTGTTGTCTAAATAGTTAGAAAATTAGTTTAGAAGTAATTTTCATTCTGTGGAAAATTAATTTAAAAATAAGTTTAAAAAATAAAAAGCGTCTATTTATTAATTCACATTTTTATATAAAACATTAAAAATGACATTTAAAAAAAAAAATTAATTACTGTACTGGTAAAATCTTTTCTTTAAATCTCACTTTTCTCTATAAATTTATCATCTTTTAAAAAATTTGGTTTCTATACTTTCTATGTTTTAAGATGTTTTTTATTCATCAAGAAAATGGGTGGTCTCAAAATGTTTACCGGTAGTGTAATTTAAAACAACTTTAAAGCATTTTGGTTAAGGAAAATATACATTTAGATTTTACCCTATTTTTCTCCTTTTTTCAAAGAAAATTTCTCCCATTCCCCCCTTTTTTCAGCAAATTTTATGCTGCGAAGCCAGTTACTGAGAAAAAATATAAATATTACAAAAATTTTTTTAAAAATATTTAATATTAAGCGATGGCGTTTTTTTTATTTTCTTAAAAAAAAATTTATAAATTATTCACGAATGATTAATTGAATTTTGAAAAAGTTATATTTTAGAAAACATTGAAGCTGGTACTTAAAAAAGATTGTTATAATATATACAGTTCCTACTGTTTGACCCAGAAAGCTGAGATTTGGTACACAGCTGCACTGTCACGTATAGATTTATGATGAAAGTTATTGCGAACACAATTGTATTTAATTACCATAGCATTGCCAAGGAAATAAACAAGATTTTTGGTGAATTTTTGTATTTAAATAATTCTCTCCTCTTCTCTAATTAACACATTATTTAAATTTATATTTTATAAATTAGATTTTTCAGCGTATCAAATAATACTGTATAATTGAATTTTCCAATAATAGAATTTACTATATTTATCTGAATAACTATCTAATAGTCTGCCAAAATTTAAATTTTTTGTTTTGAATTTAAAAAAAGACGTGCTCTTCTTATACAATCCAATTCTCATACTTATAATTGAATACACAATTTTGGCTGACGTAAAATGAAATGAAATTTTTATAAATTAAAAAAAAAATTTAGAATCATTCACACAAAAGTGAAGCAATGAATAACCTTCTTAAAATATTAGTTTTGAGAGTTAAATTAATTTTATTATTAATCAAATGTATTTTTTGTCTTATATTTTGCAGTAAAGGAAGCAATATGGTAGATCAAGCAGTACTCGATAAATTGGAAGCTGGTTTTTCCAAGCTTGCTGCTTCAGATAGTAAATCATTGCTGAAGAAGTATCTAACAAAGGAGGTTTTTGATCAACTAAAAACAAAGAAAACTTCATTTGGTTCTTCTCTTTTGGATGTGATTCAATCTGGTGTTGAAAATCCTGATTCAGGAGTTGGTATTTATGCACCTGATGCTGAATCTTATACTCTTTTTGCCGATCTCTTTGATCCAATAATCGAAGATTATCATGGTGGATTTAAAAAAACTGACAAACATCCACCAAAAGATTTTGGTGATGTTGATACACTTGGAAATTTGGACCCCACTGTAAGTATATTGAATAATTTTATAATTATTTATAACTTAACAGATTTAATGATCAATTTAGATGAGCAATTTTGCAAAACCAAAGAAAAAATTATGCAAAAATTTTTTTTCTTTATATTAAAAAAAAATGATGAATACTGCTCTTAAAAAATATTCTACTTAATTTAAGATATAATTATCTGAAAGCTATTTTCAATTAAAAAATTTTGAAATTTAATTTTTGTCTGTAATTTCTAATAAATTCTCCCTTAATAGAAATCACCAAAAATTTAAATTAAAACTTACTTTAAGAGCAATTATATTTAAAAATCTGAATTGTAAATCTTTGAAAATTTAATTATTTTTTAAAAAATATTATCTAAAATTATTTGATAAAATAATTTCAATTCTGTAAAATTTAATTAAATTATTGTCTGAAATATAATAAAATCTTTTTTAATTCAATTATTTTACAAAATTTTAACTGTAACTGTTCTAAAATTCAATTATTTTAAAAATTTTCAAATAAAAACTCTAAAATTGAATTGTTGTCAGAAATTTAAAAGAAAAAACTACATTAGTGTTCATTTTCAGAAAATTTATTTTAAAATTAAAATCTTCTTCTCCAATTATTTTTCAATTAAAAATTTTATGAAATTCAACAATTGTTTACAATTTTAAAAAACTCAAATAAAATTACCAAAAATTTCAAATGAAAAAACCTTTAAAAAATTTTTCATCTAAAACTTTTTGAAGTTTAATAATTTCAATTATAACACTTCTGAAATTCAATTATTTTTAATAATTTTTATAATATTCTTTCGAAAATTCAATTATCTGAAAGCATTTTCAATTAAAAAAATTTTTAAGTTCAATTTTTGTCTTTAATTTTTAATAAATTCTTCAGCAACAGAAATCACCATAAAAATTCCAATTCAAAATCACTTGAATTCAATTATTTTCAAAAATTTCAAAACCCTCTTTTAAAACCTTCTAAAATTTAATTATTTCTAAAAATCTCAACTGTAAATCTTCCAAATTTAATGATTTTAAATGATTCTAATAAATATTCTTCAAAAATTCAATTATTTGAAAGCATTTTTCAATTAAAAACTTGAAATTCAATTTTTGTCTGCAATTTCTAATAAATTCTTCATCAACGGAAATCAATAAAAATTTCAATTGATAATCACTTGAAATTTAATTAATTTAAAAAATCTGAATTGTAAACTTTTGAAAATTCAATTACATTTTAAAAAATGTTATCTAAAATTATATTATTAATTATTTTCAATTCTATAAAATTTAATTATTTGTCTCAAATTTAACAAAATCTTTTGAAATTTAATTATTTATAAAAATTTCAACCATAACTCTTCCAAAGTCCAATTATTTTGAATAATTTTAATATTTCTTTAAAAATCCAATTATTTATAAAAGTTTCAAATAAAAATTCTAAAATTCAATTGTTAGAATTTTTTTTTCTTTATAGTCTAACTTAATTAAAATTTTAATTTGCGTCTTCTATTCTGAAATTGAAATAAATTTTCTTGATAATATTCCTATAGAATTATAATTATTATTATTAAGGAATTAATAAAAATATTAATTATTTTAAGTAAAATACTTATTATCTAATTAAATTTAATTAAAATAAAAAAATTGACTTTTCCAACTTTTTTTGTAATGTGAATCGACTAAAACTATGTAAATAATGTTATTTTATATAATTATTTATAATAAAATTTTTAAAAATTATTTTTCAGGGTGAATTTATTGTGTCTACTCGCGTAAGATGCGGACGTTCATTGGAAGGATATCCTTTTAATCCCTGTTTGACTGAGGCACAATATAAAGAAATGGAGGAAAAAGTCTCTAGTACTCTTTCGGGACTTGAAAATGAATTGAAAGGAACATTCTATCCATTGACAGGAATGAGTAAAGATGTTCAGCAAAAATTAATCGATGATCATTTTCTTTTTAAAGAAGGTGATCGTTTCCTTCAAGCTGCCAATGCTTGCAGATTTTGGCCAACTGGTCGTGGTATCTATCACAATGATGCTAAGACTTTCCTTGTTTGGTGCAACGAAGAAGATCATCTTAGAATTATCTCAATGCAAATGGGAGGTGATCTTGGACAGGTAATTTACATCTTTTTCTCTTCTTTATCAAATGTTAAAACCAAATAATTGTATAAGCATTAAGTGTATAAATTGAGTTTAATTTGCTTAAAATTTGAATGTCTACGATACAAAGTAGATTTTGGTTTTAGATGATTTATTGAAAAACATTTTTTTTTTACCTCTTTCGAACATTTATATTACGTGTTTATTTATTTTTAATCTGGAAACGACAATGTCATTACTAGGTCATATATTTTAAGAGATTAGCAGGCATTATGTTGTAAAGCTAGTAGACACCGAAAACATTTGCTAACATCCTCTTGAGATTCTCTTTTTATGCCAGTAGATAATTATTTTTATTTTTTTTTTTTTTCAAAATGAATTTAACTGTTATTGAAAAATATATATCTAATTTAAAAAGTAAATACGTTACTTAAAGTTTTGCAAACTATTATTTTTTTTATTATTGAATTTATTATTGAAACCTTTTTTCTTCTCTAGGTGTATCGTCGTTTGGTAACTGCAGTGAATGATATTGAAAAGCGATTACCATTCTCTCACAATGATCGTCTAGGCTTTTTAACTTTCTGTCCAACTAACTTGGGAACGACAGTTCGTGCATCGGTGCACATTAAAGTACCAAAATTGGCAGCAAATAAAGCAAAGTTGGAGGAAGTCGCATCGAAGTTTAACCTTCAAGTTCGCGGAACACGTGGTGAACATACTGAGGCTGAAGGTGGCATTTATGACATCTCCAATAAACGGCGACTTGGTCTTACTGAATATCAAGCTGTCAAGGAAATGCATGATGGCATTGCTGAGCTTATCAAAATAGAAAAAGAATTATAAAAAAAAAACAATTCAGATCCTACCTCTTTTTTTCATTAATTATTAATACTCTTCGTTACTTTAGTCCTAATGCAATTCCCAAAGCAAGAATACATTTACTGTTATAATTACTGTATGTTAATTATTCAATTATCTTTAACATATTATTTTTCAACTGGATCAAAAAAAAAGAAATTGATAGTTAATAAAATCGTATAGTAAAATACATGACTGTTTTATGATTTTATTTCTTAAAATAAATATGTTACATTTCATTTTCTTTTCATTCTCTTAAAATTAATGTTAAGTAACTATATAACATGAGAAGTTAAAAATTATAATCGAAAGAAAAAAGCTAAAATTTATTTATTTTTATTTTTTTGAAAGGTATAAATTGTATTTATCATTCTCACAGCTAAGCACGGTGAGTTGGTACTAAGTTCAACGCAAATGTTTTGGCACTTCAAATTTTCTTACGAATTTCCTTTCTAGAATGTTTTTTGAGTAATTTAACCCCCCCCCCCCCAAAAAAAAAAAAAAAATTAGATAAATTTTTGAGAAAATTGATTTTGCATTTTTCATGCTGAAAACATTAATAAACAGTTTAACGTGTACTAAAAGTTCTATATAATAGAATAGTAAAAAAAAAATTATATAATGGTTTTGATCGAAAAACAAAACTCCCCACTTCCCCCTATACATAGGGTAAAAGGTACAGTGACCGACACCCAGACAGTGAACGACACCTGCTATTAAAAACGATAATAACTATAAAAATAATAATATTTAATTAAATATCACTAGTAAATTAATTAATATACAATATTTAAAAACTTATACAGTTTATACAAAATTTTATATGTTTATATTTTCCTCAATATTTAATACTTTCTAGAAAACTAACCTCAAAAAATTTGCTTTATTGATTACAAATTTTATAAATATGAAAAAATTGTTAAATAATTATATTTTAAAAGCAACTTTTTTTGTACATTAAGTCTGAATAATAAAATTTATGATAATACTAATAAATATCATGTTACTTAAATAGAAGTTTAAATATTTTTTATTTTATTAAAGGGTGTCGTTCACTGTTTTCATACCATACATTTTTAAATTAATATTATAAACTCTTATCAAGGTGTTTTTTAATTTTAAACTTGTGTACTATAAATTTTAACCCAAATCTTTTATTTAAAATTTATTTTATAACTAAATCTTTAATAAATTACGATAAAATGTCCTTTAAAGTTGAAAGTATGCCCAGGGTGTCGGTCACTGTACCCCTTACCCTATGAGGGGCTGATAGTAAAAATGGTTTAAAATAACATTGGGAGCAAAAGTGGGATAAGTGACTTGGGAGCAAAAACGGGTTAAAATGATTCGTGTAATTTATTGATAAATTCATTATATTATCGATTAAAAAATATTAATTATAATAAAATATGCATTTTTTCCTATTGTTAATATTTTTTAATCGATAATATAATGAATTTATCAATAAATTAAACGAATCATTTTAACCCGTTTTTGCTCCCAAGTCACTTATCCCACTTTTGCTCCCAATGTTATTTTAAACCATTTTTACTATCAGCCCCTCAAATATAGGTATATGAGGCATTTCATATGAGAAAACGGGGTCATGTCTCGGATTTTTCTCAAAATTCGGTAAATTGTAGTGATAGTGGTGCTAAATAAGTGTACAAATTTTTAATTTCAAATATTTAATATTTTTCAAGATATTTACAATAACAAATTTGAGCAATATTTTTTTGCTTTACTTATAACTTTTCCTCTATTAAAAATAGATAAAAATGTTGAGAATGTTTTGGATTGTTAAAAATGTTATTTACACTCGTTTTATTTGACACATAATTAGATGATCTTCCAAATAAAAAATGAGTTGACAATTTATCTTCATTTCTTCAAATATTATTAATTATTTGAATAATTTTTATTATTAATTTAACACCCGTTTATCTAAAATAGTTCATATAGGGCTCGTTGGATGCGGATTTCGATAATCATTGGAATGGTATTTTTAAAATTATTTTAATTTTATTTGTTCGTAAAATATTTCATTTTTTATTAACTTTAGTTAGTTAATTAATTAATATCTCGAAAACAAATTAATATTTTTTTAAAAAATAATTTTTTTCTGAAAGTTTAAGGTCTTTTGCGTAAAAAACAATCTCAACATTTTTCTTTATTTTTAGTAGGGAAAAAGTTATAAGTAAAGCAAAAAAATATTGCTCAAATTTGTTATTGTAAAGATCTCCAAAAATATTAAAAATTCAAAATTTGTAAACTTATTTAGTTTATCCGAAACATGAGCTTGTATTCTCATATGATATGCCTCATATACATGTGACGTATTCCACGCCAAATTCGAAGTCCATCTGCAATTGCATCTCCGATTTCTTTTGAAATTTTTTTTTCTTTTAATACAAATTGAGACTGGTTTTCATGATTTTTTTCAAATTTTTTTAGCAAGCCATTTTCGAGATATGAATTTTTTAAAATTTCAATTACTTTTAATTTTTGATTGCTTATCACTTCCTTAAAAATGGATCAATTTTAAAAGTTCTTTTCTCAAAAATGTGAGTTTTTAAACGTACTTTTCGAAAAAAAAAAATCGAAATTTTTTTTCAAATGATATTAAATTTTTAAGTTTTAAAAACAAAAATTCATTTTTCTCACTTGACGTACTGATCGATTTTTTTCAAAAAAATTTGTTTAAGGGGTTAGTACCACATCTCAGTGACTTTTTTTAATAAATATTTTTTTTTATTACAAAATTTATTTTATTTACTTTAAACTTTTTATATACCTAAAAGAAGAGGTTTTAAACTAATAAAAAAAAATTTTATTCTTTATTTATTATGGATTATCTTGCTGTCATGGCCGCCTGAAAATACCCCTACTTGTGATTAGCGGACACAATATCTCCAATTCAGGTCATCGATAAATAATATTTTTGATATTTTCTTGAAAAGTAAGCTCGTCGCTATCGTCGGAACTACAATCAACTATTTTCAATGGATAAAACAAAATAAAATTTGAACTTAATCGGTGCAATAGTTTTTCTTTTATGATGTCCGCCAGGTCAAAAAACGTTGTTTTGAGAAAAAGCGAATTTACGAAAACATATCCTTTTTCAAGAAAATACCCCCTTACAGTCTTACACAACAGGATACATTATATACATGTATATACATATATGTTTAATTTGATATACATATATTTATGTATAGGTATATATTTATAAACGGATACATTGTACCCCGTTTTTCGATATATTACCGAAGTTTCCAACCAAAATAATAGTTTCCATAGCATTTCTACATATATCTACTACAAGAATATGCAGTTTTTAGAAAATCAATTTTCTTAAAAAAAGATGTGATACTAAACCCTTAATTAATTTATTTAATTCACTATTACACTTACATTGTTTTGTAATTTTATAATGAAAAAAAATGATATTTCCGTAAAACACAAGATATTTTATGGATATTCTCGAATGATAACCAATACCTAACCTGTCACCTGTTAGAATTCTACTTTACTAATATCTAATTTGCATGAACAATACAAAACGAAAAATTTATATCATTATTCGCACACTACAGGTACCAGTGATGTTTGGTTAAGTAATGATTATATAATTTTTTATTATTTTTAACCAATAAACAATTGAAAAACAATTAAAAATCTCGAATTCAGAGATCCAAAAACCCTTATATGGGCGTATCTCTACACTGAGAAAAATGATCTATTAAACATTAAACTTTTTTCCTTTTAAATCAAGTCCTTTAATGGTTAAAAGAATTAATTTTATTATAAAAGGAATCTTTTAAATTTAAAAATGTTGGTCGTTTGTTGACAAAACAAAAAGAGTTTGACGAATAAAAGATTTCTTTTGTTTTTCTAATGAAATCCTTTTATGACATAAAAAAATAATAATTTAGAATAAAAATAAATTAATAAAAAATATTTTATTAGTATTAATTTATATTACAATTATGCATTTACAATAAATTACTTTCATTAATTTTAATTTGTTTTAATTTTTAACAATCAAAGTACTATTTTTAAAAATAAAATTTTTTATTCCTTTACTGTTTTTATTACAGAAAATGGTATTACTTTCAATGTTTTAAAACTAATGACCATCGATGATTTTGTAAAATATAACCTTAATATTTGCATGGGTTCAAAAATTTTAATCCAAAAATTTTTCGAAATTGAAAGTGAAAATAATTTCCGTGAATTGAATTTGAAAAATTCACTTGTAATTTGTAAAATTAAATCAATGAAAAAGGACATTTTTACTATTTTATCATTTTTAGGGTTCCGTACTCGGTTCGGAACCCTATTAATATCGGTTTTTTTGAAATCGTGTACCCCCCCCCTAGCGGCCACATAAATTTATCTGGAGGGCTGAAAATTAGTACACATATGTATTTTCGCGTGTAGATTACAGGAAAATTATAGCGAACTTGATTGGAATTGATTAACATAGCGTTGTCAAGGAAAAACCATGAATTTTTACGAAAAATGCCTAAAAATGACTATGTACCCCCCCCCTAGCGGCCACATCTTTTGACATAAAGAGCTCAAATTTGACACACTTACGTATTTTTACGTGAAAATTACAGGAAAATTATAGCGAACTTGATTCGGATCAATTTACATAGCGTTGTCAAGGAAAAATCAAAAATTTCGAAAAAAATCATTTATTCTCCCTAGCGCACACAATATTCAACCCAGACAGATCATATTTAGTATACAAATGTATTTTTACGGGAAAAATACAGGGGAAAAAAAGCGGTCACGATTAGAGTTGATGATTAACTTTTTATCAAGTTTTTCAAGAAAAAATGACAATTTTAGGAAAAAAATGTATTTTTCCACCAAAAACGAACAAAATTTTATTTAAAGGAAATTAAATTTATATATTTTAACGTATTTTTACGTGTAGATTACAAAAAAAATATAGCGAGCATGATTGGAGTTGATTATCATAGCGTTGTCAAGGAAAAACCATGAATTTTTACGAAAAATACCTAAAAATGAGTATGTACCCCCCCCCTAGCGGCCACATCTTTTGACATAAAGAGCTCAAATTTGACACACTTACGTATTTTTACGTGAAAATTACAGGAAAATTATAGCGAACTTGATTCGGATTAATTTACATAGCGTTGTCAAGGAAAAATCAAA